GAGCAATGTAAACCTTTCCCCTTTAACTTTGGGTATCTCAGCAATGACAAAAGTATCTAATACGCTTCCTGAAGTTTGGCTTGGAGCCTGACACAGGGCTGAATTGAGATGTAGTAGGGCCTTTCACTATATATCACACCTCACTAAATTTTATAAGAGGAGAAATGGTTTCTCACCTCAATCTTCAGGTTAATTTAATGACAAGGACTTTTATATTTTACAATATATACAATGTGCACATTTTGAAATAGGAACTCTGCATAGTGAGTTACATTATTAGCAATAAAGTACCAGATTGAAGGTGGAATGTAATGTAGTCATAATTTTAAATACTGTCAAACAGGTTCACTAGAGACTCTAAACTAAAATTCAATTAGTCATTTTATAAAAATTTGTTAAAATGGAAAAGCAGTTATAATTACAATGAAAGAGAAATGCACTGAACTGTCAATCCTGATCCCTACCCTCTGATCTAAAACAGAACATATAGTAAAATGGTCAAATGAATCTGTTTCCTATGGTCATAAAAGGTATTTGACAAATAAGGTCACAGAAACAGATGTATCTGAGATCAAAGAATAAGTTTTTGATCATTGAAACGTCTTTCACTGTGGGTCTGTGTTGCTTGTTTATATAACAGTTTTTTGAGAAGTAGAAAATTGGAATTAACTTGACAAATGATAGGAACACAGACGCACAGAGAAAGAATTTTAAAAATCCTTTTTTATATCAATAATTATACACATCCAAAATAAATAAGTGGTATCATTTACAAAGTAGTGATAGCATTTAAAGACAAAAGCCTAATATTAAAAGTATGGAAGGTCTTCTAAATAGATTAGATCAGAACTCAATATCATGCTTATGAAATGGGATTGTTTTTATTCATTTTTTTTAATGTGAGAAAAATAACATTAATGAAACTTTGACCAAAATATTTTAAGGCTTCCATTTCAGAAGTTGGTCTCATGAAATCAAGGATGGAGAAAGCTGGTGTATACTGAGGAGAATACTGAGGTCTAGTAGATGAAAAGGTCACATAAAAATGAGGCTCTAACGTCAGCAATTGAAATTCACACAAAGGGGCTGGGGATTTAGCTCAGCGGCACAGCGCCTGCCCGGCAAGTGCAAGGTCATGAGTTCAACTCCCAGTAATGGGAAAAAAAAAAAAAGAAATTCATACAATAAGCATACTGGAAAGCATGGGAGAAAGTTAACAGTTCTAAGCCAGTTAGCACAAGCTCCCACAGCAGATGAAAATTCTGTAGAACTAATAAGAGTGGGGAGAGTCTGGTGAGTGGACAAGTGGACAAAGAAATATATGAAAAAAGGGAAGGAAACACAGAAAGACCAAAGATAGCGAAGACCACGTAATCGAGTGTGCCTGTGGAGAAGGAGCCAGTGTGGCTGGTAACTAAGAGTTCAGACCCATTGGAAGTTTCCGAATATACATCTTTTATTTTAACCTATAACATTTCAATTATTGTTGTAGTTTCCCAATACTAACCTTGAGAGCAGTTGTTTTATTGCTTTTTTGTCACATTTTATTAACTTATAGGAAGCACGGAAAAGTGCATCACTCGGCATTTGATAGCTCAATGATTTTTTTACAGTCTAACTGTATCTATGAAAGCACCATGCAGACCAAGGAGCAGAATGCTACCAGCATCAGAAGCCTGCTTTGTCCCCCGTCCACGGCCTCTCCCACAAGTCGTAGTTCCCTGACCTCCAGCTCCTCAGTGAGCTTTGCCTGCTTTGGGGATTTGTGCAGGTGGGTACAATACATACTCTCCTGTCTGGCTTCCTTCCCTCAGGATTATAAAATTCATTCAGATCGCTGTGTACGATGATGTCTGCTCGCTTACATTGTTTTGTAAATTCAGTGACATAAATGCCGTATTTAGTTGTCCACTGCACTAACGATAGGAATTTGGGCTGTTTTCAGTTGTGACTTTTATAAATGCTGATGCCGTACAACCCACTGCCTGTGTCTTCGGGTGAACATGCGTACCAGGTTCTGCTGAGCTTCCGCTCCCGAATGGATTTGGTGCTCATTACATCGCACAAAGCAGTCAGACAGATTGACACTGTGAGAGTAGTGTACAAGGGTTTCTCTGGATCCGCTTTCTCACCAGCCCTGGAACCATCCTTGCCAGCTTTCCACTGAGGGTATAATAGTTTTTCATCATGACTTTCAATTTGTGTATCATCAATAAATACTGTGAATACACAGTTATATTATCACGTTTGACCAATAGACGTTTTCCCTTTGTATGCTATTTTTAAACGTGGCAGGCCTTTTAGCCGCTGTAATTGTCACATCACAAAAGGAGTTTGTGGGGCTAGGAACTGCTGCAGAATATTTTCAGCAATTTTTGATAGCACCGTATGTTCTCTTGAAGAAAATTTATTTTATTCCTTTATACTTCACTTCTACAGACCTTCATTCTTCTTTTATTCTAAACCATTTATTTATCCAGCATTTCTTTTGCACCTCTGATTGGCAGCCCAAAGAAAATCAATACACGTAAGTCAATTAACAAAGTCCAAGTATCACACACAGTCCAATATTAGGTTTGCATTAGAGAGCTATCTTCTTATGACAAAGCAACCAAGTGCTTGGGATATTTTTGTTTTGTTTTTGTTTATATTTGCATAAATAAAAAGTAAACATAGCTGCCCTTTTATTTGCAAAAGAAAGCATTACTTATAAAATTTTAATACAATAAACGTAAACATTTCCTTTTGCCAATTTATGGGCAGGTAATGTTCACTCAGTACTTCAAAGGGTTATGCATCATAAGAAAATGGAAAAAACAGCATCATTTGTAAAAAGAGAAGAAAAAGAAAACATATATGTAAGTGCCTTCTCTTGCTTCGCTTCAGACTAAATGCAGCTACATTCAGCGCAAATAAAGTATGGCGACCTTTCTCCCTCTTCTGCATGATTAATTACTTAATGCCCTATTAATTGGACAGTGTGGATGAATTTCAAACACTTTCATTCTCTGCGCATATCATCTTTTTCTGTAACCACCGATTAAGCCGTACATCAAAGGTGAGCAGACAAGGTCATCAAAGCAGTATCTCTTCAGTTATTCATTACCCACTATCAATGGTAATTAACAATGGTAACATTTCCATAAATCAATGTCTTTCTGATTATTCTCTGATGATACACAGTCAAAATATGTGCATTCCGGCCTGATCTCTTCAATTTCACATGAAAAATTCAGTCTAAATATACCGCTGAGAAAATTCATGTAGAATATTACAGTAGTTTCCTTAATTAAGATGCACCAGGAAAATAAGGTTATGTACCTTTGAAAGAAAAATAGAAACCTATGCACAAAACTAAATGAATCTGCTGACAGTGTAAGGGTCAAGTATAAGAAGCAAAGGCTATCAAGCTCAAAGTGCCAATTGATTCTTCTGCAAAGAAAATGAAAGTGCTGTCTATCCTTAGAAATAACCGTTTGTCTACTCAGCCAAGGAAAGTGACCATTCAGAATAAAAAGCAGCTTTAGTTCACGTACACGTCAGAGGGTAGACTGATAAAAAAACTTTCCAAAGGGTGTGTACTAACGTACAGTCTAAAACTTGAAAATGAACCTCTTCGACTTCAATTGCTTTGTGTACTTGTGATATTCTATTGCTTGTTGCTGTTACTTTTTAAGTCATATTAATTAGCAAATTCAAGGATGTTATTGATATATTTATTTTTGAGCAATTACACGAATTGACATTTTCACTTCAAATGGTTAGGTCTAAAATTGTCGTATCTTAAATTTACACTCAGTTTCTGAATTTGCAGAAAAATTATCAATAATTTTATGTCATCAAAATAAAACACTAAATTACATTTTAAAGCATAATTTATTAGAACTGGAAACTCAGTATATCAATTCTATGATTATACATCCTAATAACATAAGTTATAAAGCTTTCACACAGTTACATATAACATAATTGTATTCTAAATTTATTTGCTTGTTAGTTTCTTTCTGAACACTAGAAGGAAAAGTTAGTTCTCTTTAGTACTGCATTTAAAATTCCTATTTACATTTGTAATTTTTTTTTTCTTTTCTTGAGACAGGGTCTCACTCTGCAGTTCAGACTGGCCTTGAGCTCACATTGTTACCCAGGCTGGTCTTGAACTCCCAAAGATCCTCCTGCCTCAGCCTCCTGAGTGCTGGGATTACAGGCGTGTGCTACCACGCTTGGCTTTACATTTGTAATTTTTGCTATTTAACAGTAATTGCTAAACACAGTAATCAGAATTAGTTCCAAACTAATATATAGGATACCACAAATACTAGCCCAGTATTATATAAAATGGTACATATATACTGATACGTTAGTTTATTTTTCACAAGTAAGAGATAATACAAATCAAACTATTATAAACAATTAGAAAATGTGTTTACTGAAAAAATCCAAAGCCAAAGGCGAGGACAAGCTCTAGATAAGCAATGAACAGGTCTCAGCCCTACTTCTCTGCAGTTCTCCTTTTGACAATTCATCTTCCAAATGCCTTTCCTCACAGGCACGGCCATGCTCAGGACCAGGGGAGAAGAGATCACGAAATGGAAATCCTTCCCCTCAGCCTGTTTGGATCCACCTGTGTCACTTGAGTAGGCACCAAATGAGTTTTCTATCTCGCATTTAACGTGTCTAAAATAGATTTTATTTCTTCTATTTGGGGGATTTTTTTCTGTTTTGGTCATCATTGTCATTCTTGACTAAGTAGAAAAAAACACGAATATATAATTATAAACTGCAAAGACAGCAGTAACTAGAGTACACTGAGAATTCTTGAAAAACACAAGGGAGAAAGAGTCCCTTCAGACTCTCAGATGTGGTGAAGCAACATATTAAATTAGTTTCACAAATTGTTATGGTATAGTACCTATTAGTATATATTATCGTCTCTAAACGAAGAAAAGCCGACATAGTCCGAAGCTATTCCCCACCAGCTGAGTGAAGGTAATACTTCTCACCTTGGGGCATTTCTGGCGGCAGGTAATGGGGCTCCTGGGCACTAACATGAACCCACTCAAAGTCATCATAGAGGTCCTGGTGGTAATCGCAGGCCCCTGGCCCGTCCTCAAATGTGCAGCCACCTGAAAGGGAAAAAGAGCACCACTGTTATCATCGAAATACACTTTCGAAAACTGGGGGAAACCCTGGTGAAGCAGACGCGGTACTGAAATATCATTTCAATAATGGCATTTCTGTTTATCATTATTCTGTTTAAATTTTCACAAAAAAAGAACTACCTATCCGCATATTGTCTGAATAAGAAACCAGTTTGAGCCGCAGAAGGAAGGCTAAGGCACTGATGTTGAATTATTAAAAAAGAAGGAAAAGAAACGCAGATGTGAGGCTTTCCTAAAAGAAAATAATAAAGCCCCCAGAATCGACTTTTCAGCCATGTTATTGGAGAGAAGACGAGAAAGAGTGACATCGGCCTTGTAATTCTATCTCCAAGAAACTGAAAATAATGTTTAAATCTTACAAAACCCATGGCCTTGAAAGGATCCAGGAAATCTACACATGGTAACAAATGAAACAGAAGTTTATAGGGTATAAAGTGTTGGAAGTCTGTGATACACCCTTACAGACATTATTTTTTATTAAGTTTATTGATACATTTTAAGTATACATAATGATCACATTCACCTTAGGGAATGTGTGCCATTTAGATCACTTTCACACACAGGTGTGACTTAGCACGGAATCAGTCAAATTAGCCTCTACCCGCTCCCACCACTCCATTTAATAATCTCTTTTATAAAACGGAAGCAGTCTGTCCTCCTTCTTCCATGTCTTTTTTTTTTTTTTTTTTTCTGGCTTTATTTTCACAAGTAATTATATGGCAGAAGCAGAACGATTACTTTTTTTTTTTTTTTTAGCTCATGGGTACAGGCACACCTAAGTCAGAGTCTTTAGTTTATTCAAATCATGAAAATAAGAACTTGCCTATATGTCTGATCGTGAAAGAAAATAGATTACAACTAATAAAAATCCAGCAGTGGCTTTAATGAGAAAAACCAATAACCTGTCTTCCTTTCAAGTAGCTTATTTGTTTAGTTTCCATGGGGATATGAGTGGAGAAACTCACTGAATTCTCCACAATAACAAGCAACAGGGTGGCAAACTTCAGGTCTTTATATTTCCGTCACTCAGGGCATCAAAAGTTTGTTGGTCTGAATATGAGTGAATGTCACACTCTGGCCAATGACAGAGAGATGCTGGTGTCAAATCAAATCAGTGCACCAGAGATTTCCAGAAGACAAATAGCCCTAAAATCTTTTTCAGGAGCAAAAATGTATATACTTGAATCCCTATTGTGACTGCACAGTTCCTTTAAAATATCCCAAATGTCAGCAGCTGGAAAACTTCATATTGTTTTTAAATATATTTAAGATAGCCTTTTTATACATATGCTTATGAAAAGATGATGTCTTTTATTTTAAAAATAATGAAAAGAGGTTGCTAGGAAATGCATAGCAAGGGAAGTTATTCTCAAAAATATAATTTGCTATCACACCCCTAAAATGACTTACTGCTTTGCAACACACCCCTTCGGGGTTCCCAGCATCCTTTGGCGGAGGGGGGCAAGTGCACTCTGCACGCAAATTGAAACCACAGTGGACTCACAACGACTTATTTGGGAAACAAACAGCTTCAAATTACTGTCCTTCATATCCACAGCTAATTTTAGACTGTAGCATTCTGGTTAACAATAAAAACGAAGAGTAACTATACAAAACAGGAGGGTTAAGGTCACATATCAAAGCCAGCTCAGAAACACTGTGTCAAAAGATTCTTGAAAATGATTATCTGTCTGCTTGACTTGAGTGCTAAAAAATAAAATTAATAGAAGGTGAATTTTAAGTAAGAGTTTATAATATGTTCCAATTCAAGAGATGCCATGCATCTATTTACAACCCATACACCACATTTATAAATCATTGGTGAAAGATTTTTAGAAGTACTTCTCTAAAGGATTTTGTATTTCAAGGTTAAAAACTCATACAGTATACTGGATAATAAGAAATAAAAAAATTAATAATCCCGGGCTGATGAAAGAAGGTGTGATATAAGGGATAACAGCATGATCAAAACTCAAAAAAAAAAACAACCAAAAACCCTCAGAAGAATTGGCTACTTGCACAAGGTTAGTTATGAAAGACTTCACTGAGTTATGCCTAACAAAGATGATTAGGGGTGTGTCAAGAATCTTGAGACCATATTGTTAAGAGAAATACATCAGAGACACAAGCTCACACACTGGATGGTTTCCCTTACATGTGAAACCCAAAGTATAAATACAGAGCAAACTGAAAAATACTGTAATAGCACACGGGGAGATAGACCTTTTACAAAAGTTAAGAGGACCCAGAAATGGAAGTGGGTGGAAAGGAAAGGACAAGCTGTCCCTTGAAGGTCTCAGGTGGAGAGGACATAAGAAGAATTAAGATGTGTTACGTACATGCGCAACTCCCTATGATGAATGCAATCATCACGTACCTCCATCTTGTACTACTAAAAAAAAAATCTAAAAAGGAATGTGCCCAGGAAAGTCAGAATAAAAATAGGTTTGCAGTCGAGGGAAAGGCAGGAGCACAGTCATACACTTGTAAATGAACACAGCCGGCCGGGGAGAGAATCGCAGTAATTCCCTGTAATGAACGAGAAACGTAAGGACAGAAAAGACACAAACAAAAACAGTTGTTAACTACTTTAAATTTCATAAAAAAGGAGTTTAGGGTTCTTTTTGTTCAGTTGTCTTGAAACCATGAAACGATTTTAATCAAGAATATGACACAATTCAAGCCAATTAAAACCTAATGCTAACTCTAGCTGCCACGTAAAGTAGAAAAGTGGAGGGGGTAAATACATATTGTAAGGTAAATTTATTATAGACTCTTCCTGTTAATCATTAAGTTTCACTAGAAAGCCTAAGCACACTGCTCTATGATACATGGTCCTCTACATGTATGTTCCTGAGTTATAGTACTAAAATCTATTTAAAAGAGAAATATCATAGCAAGGCTTTCATTGGTCATCAGTTTTAAGTTTCACTAACTCAGATGTCATAATGGAGGCTGCAAAACTGAACTGACGCTCCTGAAATTTAGTTAGGCAGAGGGGAGGAAATGCAGAGGGAACATCTTCGTTTTCCAGTCATTATATTTGCCGCTGGCGGGAAAGCTACAAATGAGCAACTGCAAATCAGGCCAGAGAAATGGGCGCCATAGTTCTTGACCCTTGGGGGAAAATGATGTGTGCAGAGAATTTCACAGATTGCGAATCCCTCTCCACCAGTCAGGCTGCAAACGGACAGCTCTCTCTTGTGATCACTGGCTCTCCCCACCCCCAGTCATTTAAGGGTCTGTGCAACCTGTTCACCTGACAGTAAATATCAGGCTGATGAGACTTGTTAGAAAGCCTGTCCTCTCCTAAGTGGCTTACTGAAAGGACACTACAAGGACTATTCAGTACCTGAGCATGCTACAAAAATACCCTTGGCCCTAAAACTGCACTGTCTGAAAACCTAGCATTTCCAAAGATGTTGAATGCATATTCAAATAAAAGGTGGTAGCTCTAGAGAGAACACAGAAATAACCTTTCTGTGATAGCATAAGAAAATGAATAATATTAAAATTCAAATCTTTTCTGAAGTCAAACTTTTCAATAAATTCCGGGGTCAGGTGAATTTAAACAACACTGAACTAGAGAAAAATGAAGTCATTGAGGCCCTGAACAGGGCTACATTTTGATAAGCCACCCTTTTCAAATACACAGCCCACCAAAAAAAAAAAAAAAAAAAAAAAGTATACACATTTCAGGAAAAGAAAATCTTGTAAAGGTGCATGTTCTCCTGACTTAACGCCTGCAGATTTTCATATATGGGGGACTCTAAAGGATGTTATACATGACAGAAAACCCACTACACTGCAGGCCCTGAGAGGGGAAAATTAAAATCCACTGGACACCTTGAACAAGGTTATCCATGCAGCAGTTCGCCATACTAATAAATGACTGGAAGCTCATGGCCACCGCTTTGAGAAGCTCTTATAATTGTAGAGGCCAAAGGTAACTTGTAAGGATCTCATGATGTGTCAATAAATTTAGTGTTTTTTTTTTTTTTCTTTTCCAGAAGTGTATACACATTTTTTTTTGGTGAGCTCTGTATACTGTCCTAGGGTCCTCTACATTCTCCCTTCAAAGCCATTTACCCACTTGTAATTTTATGACTTATTACAATAGTAAGAAACGGATTACCTTTCATGCTTATTTACTGCTGTAACAACAAGCTCCACTTCCTAAAGAAATAGAAAGTTTTCTTATTTCCTTAAGTCATATGGAATATATAAAGATTTAAGAAGAAGCTGAGAAAAGTTGCATGCCCCTGTGATTCCGGCACTGAGGCTGAGGCAAGAAGGATCAGAAGTTCATGTCTGGCCTGGGTAACTTAGCAAGATCGTATCTCACAATAAAGAGAAGTTAAAGGAACAGAGGAGGTAGCTCCGTGGTAGAGCACACCTGGGTTCCATTTCCAGTACCACATAAAGAAGACTTGGAGAAAGTACGTCAGTAAATACAGTATCACGGTTATTGGATAACTCTCAAAAATGAGCAAGTTAACCTTCTCTAGTTTTGAGTTAAACTATAATATACAAAACTGCTCATTCAAGTTTGCAATGATCTATACACTTCTAGGATACAGAGAAAAAAATAATGCATACTATTTTAGGATACATACCACACTCAGTTTAACTTTGAATAGATCATCTTTCACTGTGCCAATGAGAAGTCCTAAGTTAAATTTACTAGTATTATCCCCAAAACACGTAACAAAAATACCGTTATATTTCACACAAAAATATTAAAAGAATAAAACAAGAACTTGCTACTGAATATCTTAAATCTAGTATCACTTACAATCTGAGTTAATATAGTTTATTCCCAGAAAAATGTCTTATTGGAGAGAAAAACAAAAAATGATGCTTTTAAATACAATTTTCATCTCCTCTGACATAAACTCAGATGTTTTAATACATCATTTTTTGTTTTAACTCTAC